GTTTTTGTTTTTACATGTGTAACCTTAGGTACATTGTTTTTCTTTTTCGTGCATGTAAAATTCTAAGCGGCAGCAGGTACAGAATTTTGTCCTGCCTATTAATAAATAAACTTTTATTACACGTGCTAAGCAAGTTTCTAAATTAGAGGTTTTAATGTTAATTAAAGAAAACATTAATTTATAGTTTTATTTGTCTCATTTTGTTTTTTATATTTTTTATTTTATCTTTGTGACTCATAATTTATAATATTTAATGACAAAATTTTTAGAAGATATTAAGATTAAAATGATGATAATTTTATTACGTGTTTTTCATAAAGTGGAGATAATTTAAATTTAAGTAAAAATTACTATTTTTTTCTCAAAAAAATACAGTATGCCAATTCCACCCTTTTTATTTGGTTTGTTTGAGGCTTATATTAAAAAATATATTTTAATCAAAAGTATAAAATAACAAATTATAAGAACTTTATAATTTACATGTTTTTGTTGTTTAATTAAATAAGTAATATAGGAAATTAAGGTGTTAAGTAGTATCTATGTATATAATTTATCAAATGTTCAAGCAATAAAAAGGCTTACAATTTTATCATAAAGATAAATATTGTGTATTTAAAATACAAAAAATATCTAGACATGGCATTTCTCAGCCATATGGCTGGCGCAAATATAATTAAAAACAAAAGGTCAAAACAAAGTAAAGAAACATTTTTCTGACATCTTAATTAAGTTAGTTAGGTTAATTACTAATATCGTATAATTAATTATGGGTGATTCCATACTAAATTACCCAATCGTTTTTTTTATTAAATTTACAATAAAGATGGTAAGTAAAAAATATTCGAAAGCAAAAAACTTTAGTAAAATTTGGGGAAAACACTTTTACATACGGTAAAAACTGCTTTTTCTAAATTATTCTAAAGCCTAGGAGATAATCGAATACTTTGGGACATTTAAGAGTTAAATTAAAACTTAAATCGTATATTGTAATAAAATGATCAATGTTATAAATAGTTGCTAAAAAACTATTTTTAAAATAATTAAAAAATCTTAAACCTGATTAAAACGTTTTGCCAATATATAAATGAAATAAAAAGTTTTAAGTGTATTACAAATATTATGCACCTTTTTAATTAGATATTATTAAAAAGGTGCATAATATTTTTAATAAAAAATCAAATTAAAACAACTAAAAGTGGTATTTTTTATTTTGCTATTAAATTTTTAGTTACATCATACCTAAATAAATAGAATATCACAAAAAAAAGTTTCAGTGAAGTCTGAAAATCACTTCTAAAAACAGCACCGTGATTAAGGAAAGTGCAAATTATTTATTTATACATACAAACAGCAGCAAAAATATGCAACATGATTGCTCGATTTGGTAAGAAATTCCCACATAAGCATCTTAAGGGCCCCTTTGCAATTTTAATAATACATATATTAATCCCGGCGCATTCGCCATTTTTGCAAAATCATAATTTTTGTGTGTACTGAATGATCACCAAAATTAGGACCATGCACATTTGGTAAATTTTGTAGACTATTGGTATATAATATATATTTGATTGCACATTTTTATTTATTTATTTTATACTTTGGCAACATACAAAACATGTTTAAAGATATCTTAATTTAGAAAATGTATTAGGAATAAAATGAATTAAAATAGTTGTGGGAAATTTTTAATTTCATTAATTTTACTTGAAAAAAATTGAAAAACCTTCTTTAATAGAACTTATTGTTAATTTTTCAAAAAACATGTATAAAATAAAAATTATTAATTTTAAAAATGTGTACACTAAAAAATCTTTAAACTATATTACATTGTAATTACTTAATATTGGCCAACCTAAATATTGAGAATTATTTTAGAATTTAGAAACAGCTGATGAAATAATAATATTAATGATAAAATTATAGTTGTTCCAGGAAATCCTGATGTAATAGCGGTTTTGATGTTGGTACCAAGCAGTCTGTTCTATTTTTGATGGATTTCCATGCCAAAACGTTAAAAGCCAACTAAAACCACGCTTAATTAAAATCATTGCGTACATTTTGACCTCTATATTTAAGCATACTGGCGATAAATGATAGTGAAAAACTTGCCAGATTTGGAATAATTTTACATGATGGACAAATTTAGACATTAATATTTTGACAAAATAGATTTTGAATATAACCTAAATATAATATAATATAATATAATATAAATAAATATGCGACAATTATGGTGTGCCAAGAGCTTGTAATAAAATAAGTCAAATCGTCATATCCTTAACGCATATCCTTAATATTCAAAATTTAGTTAAATAATGTTATTATTTATATCATTCTAAATTAAAGGCTGAATATTTGTTAATTGAGAAACTGTTTTAATTAATTAAAATAAATAGATGTATTACCTTAAAAAGGTTACAGGTATAAATGCATACGAAAAAAACAAATAATCGATTTCCTATTATTACGTTATATGATATTCGTAAATAGTTAATAATAATTATTTAATGAATTATTCAATAGATCTCCTATACAACACATCTCTTTAATTAATGCATATCCATATTTTCAAGCTTCTGGATAACAATTAGCATGGATATCTGAAGGGAAAATCGACAAACACGGCGGTAAACTTTTATACATAGTATTTTGGAGGGGTATGAAACAGATCCTATCTCAGCGGTCGCCATCAAAAAGTCTGTAACACACAAAATATGAAAAAAGTTATTTCTGAAGGTCTAGATATAAAACTGGGTGGTCCTCAAGGAAGCATAATGGGGCCTGTATTATTTTTGAAATATTTAAATGATATTTGTAATGTAAAAGGATAGGATGAGTTTAAATTGGTGAATTACGCTGATGATACCAATTTGCTTATTAAGTCAAAAATCTTGGAGACGGCTATTCAGTCATCAAGCAAGATATTTAAAAATTTGAACTTCTGGCTCATCAAAAACAAGTTGATCATCAATAAAGAAAAAACAAGTTGCTTTATATTTCAAAACAAAGCGTCTCAAACCGGAAAAAACTATTATTCATGGGAATGAACTCGTTGTTAAAATAGCACAAAGTTTCTAGGGATTACAATCGATGCGGAGGAAACTTAATAGAACAAACTATGCTTTGAGAGTTATGAAAAATTATCTGAATACGTAAAAGGCAGTATATTTTGTTAATTTTAAGTCTGTAATGAAATACGGAATTGTTTTTTGGGGATAATCTTCAAATGTAAATTTCGAATGGTTTTTTTATTTAAAAATAATGGTCAGAACCATGTTAAACCTCTCTTATAGAGAAAGCTGTAGGGCAAAATTTAAATATTTTAATATGTTAACTTTAACTGGTATGTATATACGAGGCCTGTATATACGAGGATTGTATATGAACACATGATTATCTAGGGATATTTGGTTTTATTTATTTGGTGAGTACCATTATTTCGTTTTTAAAGTAAATTATTGGTATTAAATTATTTATTATTAAATGATTAGATAATTGTTCTATAGAATTTTTAAAGTTATTAAAACAAAAAATAAAGCAACAAAAAACATACAGTAAAAGAAAAAAGCAGAAAACCATAGACCACACCTTCCATGGTTTTATTTCCTTTTTCTTTTTCTTTTCCTTTATTTTTTTTTCTTTTTCTTTCTTGTTTTTTTTTCTTTCTTTTTTTTCTTTCTTTTTCTTTTCTTTGTGTTTTGCTCTTCTTTTTGGACTTTCACTGCATTCTACATACTGCATGTTACTGTTGCTTTATTTTTTGTTATAATAAAAAGTTTTTCGTTTTCACAATTCATTTTTAGATTTTAAATAGAATTGTATTAAAATAAAAAAAGTATAAAATCAGTTAGAAAATTGTCTGTTTTTAAATAAAATTTAAAAAAATGACAAAACAAATTTTGTTTTTGCGATGTGGCACCTATAACTATTTATGAATTAAGTATAAAAGCATCTCCCTTTACCCGATTCTCCGCAAAGTAAAAAGCGAATTTTAAGTTTTAATTAATATAGATTTTACCTATCAAAGGCTTTTTCTTGTCATTATAAGTTATAATTTATAACTTTTACAACTAAATGCAGAACAAACCACCATTGTATTTTAACATTGAAACCGATGCTTTTAATTTCTTTTCAAGCAAAAACAAAAAAAAATCTTGTAAAGACACTGGCAGTACGGTTCACACATGCTTTAACTAAAATGCACAACAATGGGTATTACGTGTCCTCCTTTTAATATGTCTATGGTACTAATAAAACCAAGAATATTCAGTTTTTGAAACTTTATATTATATTTGTCATTCTGAATAACTTTGAAGGGCATTAAGACAATATTGTTGATACTTTACAGCAAAAAATTGTTTTGGAAATATAAAAAAGACATAGGCTTCTTCTTGCAGCAAGGTGCTTAACTTTAATTTGTAACAAATTTAGATTTTTTTATAAATCTATTAAAATAGTATTTCGTAATTTTTATAGCCTTAATGTATGGCTTGTATACAGAGGTGTTAAATTTATTAATACGTTTATTATATACATACCATAAAGTTTAATGGTTCAGTCTTACCCCTAATTTAAATTAAAGATTGATCTTCTAAAAATAATAAACTGTGGTGGGTCTGAAATATATATTTATGGAATCAGCGCTTTTTAATTTTTCAGTTCACCGAACGAAGTATTTATATTATAGAAGTCATTAATTTAAACTTGTTTATTTTAAGAACTAGGCAAACACAAACAAATCATGTTAAAATTTTAAGTTATTATTATAGTTATAATAAAGTGTAAGTAAATTTAACAACCATTTAAATTTATATTATTATGCATGCATGCAAACAAATAAATTTCAACAAAATTCCGTTAATTTTTTAAAACTTAAGTCTGGCGCCAAAATAATGTATTTTAGAAAATACATCTAGAACTATTTCAAAGCGACCTTACAGATTAATTTTTATTGGAACAAAATGTAATAAAACACAATATAAAATAAATTTAGTAAGCAACGCAATTGTAGCCGCTTATTTATTAAACAAACTTCTAATATGCATTTCATTTCATTGATTTATAGGTACATGCTAACAATACAGGTTAAAAAATCACCATTTTTTTCTTGGTTGCGATTTCTTTGGTTTTTCTGGTTCTGGTTCCTCTTTTGCTTTTTGAGAAACATTAAAGTCTGTGTTTAATCTAAAACATAAAATTTGTAATTAAATAAAATGCAAACAAAAATAATTATTTACAATTAATTATAACTATAAAAAATAAATTATAATTTATAGACAATTTTAACAGAGTAAAAGGTAAAATATTATAGTATATTACATTTTAATATCATTGCATTTATTTTATATACAATGTCAAAATAAAAAAACTGGGTATTTTTTGTTTCAATCTTACAACCGTCTAAAAATTATGCTACCCAAAAGCGTACTTATGTACATTTAAATACAAATAATTAAGGTTATCTATATATCTGCCAGTTTAACGATAATTTTTTTTCATTTTCTACTTTACAGAAAAAAATATTAAGAGATAGTCTTGGTACAAAACAAGATACAGGCTGGTAACGTTATTTTTTTAAATTTTGGCTATAAATTTAACAATTATTAGTCATTTTTAGCAAAATTTGGGATGTTTTTTTTATAGGAAAAATTTGAATATTTAAGTCATTTGAACTAAAGAAATAATTGAACCTTCACCTCGCCAAAGTTTCTTGTTTTGAGTGCGTTCCACCAATTTCAAATACCGACAGACAGCAGTTTCGACCTATATTGGGTCTCATCAGTGTCGGGCAACTTGGTGTAGTGGAACTAGGGTTGTGGAATTGACCGGTTAAATTGTTTTTGGTCCGGTCAATTGACCAAAACAAAATTAAATAAAATATCAAAATAAATATTACTTAATACTACTATTTATTTGTGCTTAATAAATAGGTAATTAAAATACGTTACCAATTTTTTTTTATTATAAAAGAATCTTTAGAAACGTTTGTGCGGATTTAAAAAGTTATGTTTTGCTATTAAAAAAGATATGTCCCGCTTTAAGGGCAAAGCGCCGAGTCCGGCCTAGCAACCCCTTGACTCGGGGAACTACCAAATTCTAAATGATGTCGATATTGCACGATCGCTAAAATTTTGAGATTCACGGGTAATTGTTGATACCTAAATAAAATGCTGCAAAAATTAAATACCGGTCAATTGACCGGTCAATTGACTGTCAATTGACCATCCCCAACTCTAAGTGGAACACACCCAAAACAAAGGACTACTTAAGCTTATATACTGCGCTGATAAGTCAACAGAGGCGAGATGTAAGAACATCATCAACTAACATAATACTTCAGCCCGCAATTAAAAAAAAAGACAGCCACTGCTGCTAACTTTAGCCCGTGACCAAAAAGTGTCAAATCTAAAAGATCACTTAGTGTCATGAAAAAATGTACGATACTATTTATAATATTTAAAATGTTATGTGTACATAACATATTTTAAATTTTATAAATAGTTTTAAGACAATATATTTCAAAGAAAACTGGAATAATATTTATATTATAACAGTAGGGTTCATTCAATTTCGAAAACATTATTTTTAAATTTGACTTTTTTTCGCCACAAAAAGTGCACTCTTGGGAACAATTTTTATGACCACCATTCACGCTCAATATTTCCACCACGATATTTCCTACTTCATAATAATTTCGCCGTAATCTTGGCACGTTTGTTTTTTATGATTATAATAGAAAAACAGCCAAGGAAATGAAACAAAATAGTTTTCTTAGGGTAGTGGATAAAATCTTTGTTCTTATTGCTTTTCCTGCCAATTTACTTGGGGTCCGGTTTTATTAAGGTCGTCCATTGAAAAGGGTCAATTGCCGTTAAGTCGGCTAAATAGTTTTTGTTTTTTAGAAGATAATACCTCACTACAAAATCAATTACGAAATCCAGTGCAGCGTTATCTCGCGCTTAGGAACAACATATTATTTCCTAAATTGTTTTAGATAACAATAGGTGCTCCAAAACCATTGGGGTTTTTATAAACAAAATCGGGTTTGAACCAGATCCATATAGGTAGTTGAAATTAACAATCCTGAATTTAATATCAGTTAAATCGGAATTTATACTACATGTATTTTCAAAATTGAATAATTTTGATTTGTATCTGCCCACCTAATTAAAAAACAAATTTAACAATCATAACAATAGTAATTAAATATTTTATCATATACAAGTCATTTAATAATACGTTTAGTGGGGGTCGCAATAATTTCTTTATTTTATGTAAAATATTGTAATTATTTTTAAAAAAATTGACAATAGTCAAAAAAGTGCATGCAAATAAAAAAATAAAAAGAAAAAAACTGTTTCTTAGATTTAAGGTCAGTTAACGATTAAATTAATATTATTAAAAAAAAAATGATGATAAACATAATATGTTTCTTATTATGATGTAATATCTTGTTTTTGTTGTAACATATAATTTAAAGAAAACATTTGCATAATTTATTGAAGTTATAAATACTTCTTTTGGCGCATCGAGAGTAAAATTTAAGCAGGCAACGGAAGTAACGCACGCACAGCTATAAAGGTGGCTGTGCATAAGTAATAGAGATAAATAAATAAATCCAATATGGCGGATTGCCTATTTATTCACAACCTTCTTGACACAAGTATCAAACAAAGGGTAGAAGGTGAGTGGGGATTTTTAGAACTTAATTTTTTTTTGAAATTTTCATAATTAAAAATATCAAATATTTATAAATATTAAAATTTCTATTACTTTTAAAATTTAAAAATAAAAAAAATTCAAAATCCTCTTTTATCATTTTTTTTTTTAAATTTTTAATACATGTCAATAATTTTAGGTATATACAAATATGGGATATTCTACAGATCACAAAATTATTAAGGAAAAAGCTTGTAGGCACCAGGCCTAATTACTGGAGTACACACTGACAAACACAAATAAACATCCATACCCATGTGGGATTCGAACCTACGACCTCTCGGCTTGTAGTACGCAGTGCTGACCACTACACCAATATTTACAATGAGGTTCTAATCGATTGTTGTGTGGACTATAGTCAAAATAAAACGCTTAAAAAACTCATGTGTCAAAAAACTCACTACTAAAGGTTTTTCATAAATGTTGGCCTGCAGCTCGTTTAACGTTGCTGGCTTGTTGGCATAGACCAGCGATTTAATGTAACCCCAAAGAAAATTTTGTAATTATTTTAACAAAGGAAAATATTTTACCGAAAGTTTTTTTAAGGTAATAGGTATGCATTTTGTAAAGGTAATGTTGTTAATTTCAAAGGTTACAGATTATTTTGTTAATGTTTAACAAATTATTTCGTTGAAAAAGTACACGTGATTTCAGGCAGTCAATCAAAACATTTCCCACTGACAATACGAATCAACAAGTTCAACTGACTTCAGCGTCTGCAACTTATGTTTCTGCTTACTTTATTCTAATTCGTAACGTGTTCGTAACAACTGTCCAGAGTGTTTATAATATATTACCAGAAATCTGTTATTATTGTTAGTCGGATTCCTTATTCCTATTTAATGAGTGTGCGAAGTGCAATGTATCCGAAAAAAGATGCCATCACTGGTTTTAAAACTCAAATTAGTGGATACAGTAAAGTGGGTTAAAGTTACGAAATACATCAGTAAGTGTTGTAGTACTACAATACAGGGTGTTATGTAATTTATGTTATATATTAAAATACTGAATACCTTTTGATATAAGTAGTAAAGGAAAAATATTTAAAAAAATATTGTTCCAAGGATAAAGAAAAAACATGCATTAGAAGTTTTTTTTTTTGTGATACGCCACTGGTTAAACACTTGGTTTATCTCTGCACACTGGTGTTCTGTGAGTACATAGATACCAACCAACAAAGTATACTTCGCTATAGCTGCGCGTTGCCAGATATAAAAAATTGTTACTAAAATTTTTTCTTGCAAAAAATAAATAAAAACTCAATAAATACACAAGTGTTATGCCCTTAAAGCTCTAATACCCTTCTGTATTTATTTACTCATACAGCTATTAGCTTAAGCAATGATTAGAAAATTTAGTACCTATTTTAAAAAATCCATAACCACAAAATTAATTTTTTCCACGGTTTTTTTCTTTCTGTTTACTCAGATAAAATTGGGACCAGTTCACAGGTTAAACTTTAAACATTTAATTTGTGTAAATAAATCCAAAAGCACTTCCCTTAGTTAAGATATTTACAATTTGAGCACATAACCTAAAATTTGAAAGAAATGCACTAAATTCTGTCATAAAAGTTGGCAGATTTTGTTTGAATTTACCTTCAGGACAAAAATGACATAACCAACAATTAAGCTAAATTTAAACAATGCTTGGCAACTTTTTTGACAGAATTTGGAAACGCTGTTGTTACCAACCATAACATAATAAATTAAATTAGGAAACCAGATTAGCCTAAAGTTTCTAGTCGATCAGTGGCGTACTTTTTGGTAGGATAAAGATTATTATAAATTATTTTTAGTCTTGAAATTTAGAAAAAAAAGTTTCAGGTGCTTCTTTATGGACCCTAAGGAACAACCCATTTTAATATATAACAACCTGTATACAGTTAAATCTTGATCATAATTTAACAAATAAATTATTTTATTTGATTCCATAGTTGGAAAACTAGCCATATAAATAGGTCCTTTTTAATAGAACTAGAACTTAATATAACGTTTTTATTTGTTAATCAAAGAAGTATCAAGTCTGTAGAACGCAACTAACAATAAAATGATATTTTACGAAATGCAAATTTATTTATTTCAGTTCTGGAAAAAGGAAAAAGTCACACGGGACCAAATCGGGAGAATATGGAGGATGCGGTACCAATTCCCACACTAATTCCTTCAACGGTTGTAGCGGCTTAGTTAGCTGGGGAATTGTCTTGCTGAAACATGATTTATATCGTATCTGCCAAATAACGACGTTTTTTATATTTTTATATATTTTTTTATTATAGATCAAGATTTAACTGTAGATATATTATATCTACAGTTAAATCTTGATCTTCTAATTGTAACAAATAAATTATTTCATTTGATTCTATAGTTGGGAAACTAGCCATATAAATAAATCGTTGTCTTTTTTAATAGAACTTTGTTAAACAATAATTTATTTAATCAACGAAGTATCAAGTCTGTAGAACC